GTTTATGATAGATAAAATATCCTAGTCTTGATGGAAAGAATAAGCATATAAGTAGTAGAATGGTACTCTCTAGTCTCTACCAACCTATCCAGTAGGTTTCTTTAAATGGCTAAAACTAACCAATATGATCAATAACTCCACAATAAATCACCAACAATTTTGGTTAGGTATTTGGGACCTACCATAATGAATTTTCAGCATTTATCAACAAGAGGAAAAATCAGTAAGGAAATTCATGACCAATGATAGAATTTAGTTAAATTAAAAAAAAGTATTTAAAGTAACTTTTAGCAAATATAAACATAAAAAATTACATGATAATACCATAAGTTAATAAAATAAAAATAAACATCCATGGAGATTCAATATGAATGATTATGAATGTAAGCAACAAAATCAATTCTCTCAATTTAGCCACTGTTAATAAAATGCTTTTAAATTTATTTATCAAGAGTTGTATAGTTTCCCTTTATTTAATTTATTTGTACCACAGACATAGCCGCGAATTCCATTCTACAAAGCATAATTATAAAAGCCATAGTCATAATACAACTCTTACATCTATATGATATAATATCACCAAGCAGTGGCTCGAGCCGAAAAAATTATTCATGGGGGGCCTAAATTAAAATAGTTTTACTTGCCGTCTCATCTGAAATGTTATAATACATAAATATATGCCTTAATGACTGATAATCAACCCAAAAGAAAAACCCTTAGTAAATGCTTCTGCTGTTTGGGCTTGTGCACGCGAAAGAGAAATATGCTTGAAGTCGCGATTCACGAGAGAGGAGGAAGGGAAAATGAAGTATACTCCGCAAGCGAAGGAAAAAAAAGAAGCAGCGAAGGGGAAAACATGCCATTAAAAAAAAAAAGAATTTTTTCATAAATTAATGATGATTACATTTTATTCTTAAATAATTAATGAGAATATAATTTATCATTTTTTTTCATATTTTATCGCAACTCGTTATATGATAATGATTGGATTTCATCATTTGATTGAATAACCAAAAATATTTATCAAAAAGATTTATAATTGTATCAGAGTACCCTTATTTTTTAAGACATTTTTTTTAATTCATTAACAAATAAATTAATATCTTAAGAAACTCATGTTGCATATTCATATAAAAAATGCAAGACAAAAAATTAAAACAAAATACAAATAATCAAAATATAATATTTAATTTTAAAAATGTTAAAACTAAAAATAATAATAATGTCATTTTGTAGAAAAAAACAATTATTTTATTTAATTCAAATTTACTAACTATCTTTGCCCGAATAACTCTTTTGATTCCGCGGCACATAATTGAAATGCTTTGGATATTGTTCCCAATTTTTCTCCCATTCTTTTCTTCCAAATATGATAAATACAACAACATGTAGAAAGATAATATGCACATTTTTTCGTGTCTGAGAATAACCAAAATGATATTTAGGTGCAACAGAAATGTGGAAAGGATCCGGCAAATGATGCTAAAAGAGTAATCTCATTGGAAATATAAATGAGAAATACTTTTATTTTCATTTTCACCCACAGCTGTTTAGCTTGGTTGGTGGGTGAGTAGGGGTTGAGAACCCTTCAACCTGTGCTCGATTCCCCTCGAGCGGCAGTGCCTCTTAAGTGGAGTCCAATCAAGTGCGGGCTAGTAGGTTCTGGGATGGGAGCCTCTTCTAGGTCAGCCGAGGATTAGTCACGCCGCCAAACGTTCTTGCGAGGGTGGCAGCGGGTGGACACCCTGTTCCAAAAAAAAAAACTTTTTTTTTTTTCAGCAAAGCAGAGAGTGCATAAATGATTAACCCAAAATTTCATCCAAGTGCATTGGTAGTTTTTAAGCCGACTGCCATAGCCATCCAAGTAAAGATTGAATAACAGAGAGCATGTTTTTTGACTAGTAGAGCTGAACAACACTTGGGCTCGTTCAAATTCATTCAGTTTTTATACTAAAAAGGTGCTTTAGAAAATAGTAAGAAAGCTATCCAAATGTGGGACGACTTTCTTACTGCTTCTTATAACAACTTTCTAGTTAAAAAATCAAAATTTTTGTACTAAAAAACTATTTTAAGAAACGGTAAGAAATTCATTCCAAACGAAGTCTTACTGCTTCTTCAAACAGCTTTCTAGTACAAAAATAATATAAAAAAAAAAAGTTATATTAAAAAACTACTTTTAAAAGCAATAATAAAGCCGTCCAAAATGAAGCCTTAATCTTACCCTTCAAAGCTTCAGGCCATGTAGAAGGAATGCAACATGTACCATTCCTCACAGAACATGAGATAGAAGCATTAGATAAATGAGTCGGTATGAAGGATGTTAGCAAAAGTAACAAAAATCAAATTACACATATACCATGGATTAAAAAAAAAAAGACCAATTGCTATCAGTAGAAATATTGAAGGAAAGGTGCACTTTGATGATTTGAGCTAGATTAACAAAATATTTCTAAAAATACGAAGCCTGAGAGGTGAATGATTTCCACAATCAAGTGTATTTATATTTCTGCCAATGATGGGAAATATTTGAGTCCGCAAGTAATTCAAGAGGAAATACTTGAATTCACAAGCAACCATAGCAATAATTGGTCCAAAACAGTGAGAAAAACAAGAAAAAAATGGACGAATTAGAAACGATAGATTGCGATAGTGGGATCAAAGCAAAGCAAAACTCAAAGCAAAATACAATTGATCCTCAATTCGAGAGGAGAATCGTCTCTCCCAAATCTCTAGACAAGAGAGTCTAGAGCCAAAGTCGTCAAGACACCCTAATTGAGAACAAATCAAAACATAATCCTTCTCTAAATATCTCTCCCTCTTAATACAAACATTTTCCTAATCTTATCTCACTCCTAAGACCTAGCCGCCTACTCATTTTGAATTTGAAAACTATTTGGCAAGTTGGGGCCCATCATGTGGGCGGGCAATACCAAGGGAGGTAGACAAGTTCGACCTCCTATAAACTTGAGCCGGCTTGGGTTGGCTGGGTCGATTCAGGGTAAACCGGCTGCATAACAGAATTGTTCATCAAAAACCTCCTAGTCAAAGAACAGTGATATGCATAAACAAGATCAGAAAGAGCAGGAATGCTAGTACCCCAAATTGCAAAGATTTACAAGTGTTCTTCCAATATATCAAAGATAGTTTCCTATCCTTAAACCATCAAGAAACTTAGATACTTTATTAAGTAAAGATTAAAAATCAGAGACCAAAAGCTTCTTAATTAGCACCAACAAGCAGTCCCAAATAGATGAAATTGTGGCTTTCAATACGAAGGTCTATCAATGTAGCCAAACTTAATTGAGAAGGATTGTTTTTTTGAAAAAAAAGATAGATCTCTCATTGATGTTTATAGAAAAAATAGAAACATGTTTAAATTTTGTCAAACTATTTTGTAAAGAATGAAGATTTTTAACAGAGGCTTTCCCAAATACCATCAAGTCATCAACATAAAATAAGTGGGTGATAGAGATATTAAAATATTTGTGACCTTCATATTTCTGTTTGGTAATATAAGCATTGAAAAGACTTAATAATCTATCCATGGCGATGTAGATAAGATAGGGATCGGAGACAGTGGACAACCTTATCTTAGGCCAGAGTTAGAGCTAAAAAAATCCTGAAGTGAGTCATATAGACATATAGAGTAGTGAACATCAGCAATCCAAGCATTCTTCCAATTAAGAAAGATGCTAGGAAAGTCTTTTTGCTCCATCCTAAGAGATATTCTCTAAATAATGTATCAAAGATTAAGGCTTCATTTTGGATGACTTTTTTAATGCTTCTTAAAGCAGCTTTCTAGTACAAAAAAGTTAATTTTTGTACTAAAATACTACTTTAAAAAGCTGTAAGAAAGCAATCCCAAACGTACCCTAAATATATCAAGTTTTGGATTAAAAAATATTCCTTTCTAATCGCAAGAAAGTCATAAAATAATTCTCTAATCAGAATGATATTGTCGGAAGACATTCTTTTAGCCATAAATTCAAGGTAGGTTGAAAATTATGCGGCATTTTTATAAAAATATGTATTATAATTATATCAAAATTATAAAGACCTATTTATATAATTTTTTATTTTATTATTTTTTTCTTTAAGAAAAAGGTTACTATCAATGTGATGTAAAAAAATTTCTTTTGCGGGAGTAATTTTTTTTGAAATATTAATCATGAAAAAAAAATTATATGTACACATATATAAAAGAAAGGGAGTATCTATTCGTTGGAGTAATTATTACGTCCGGACAAAAAATCGGAAATCCGGACGTATACCGAGCAATACCGAGTGCTCAATACCGAGTTTCAGGTGACGTGGTTATTGATCTCTGGACGCGTCGGGTGACCTGACGTAATAATTGCTCATTTTCGTTGTCACTTCAAATAGAAGTCATCTCTCAATATCAGACTCACACATACTTTGTCCCACTGAAGGTACAAGACATTAGTAGATGGGATTCGAATCCATTATGGGGGTTCCCAAAAGTGCTAGTCCACCAACCACTCTAAATATGTGTATACATATCAAAACATTCTAACGTAAAGTTTATTCATATGAGTTAAAAAATACTACATTTATTAAAAAAATAACATTTATTGATTTTAAAATTAATAATGGCCGTCAGTTTTATAGTTTACTTTTTAGTTTTATTACACAACTCTCTTTGGCCTATTGGTTAAGAGCTTAGACTTCTAACTAAGAGGTTCAGGATTCGAGTCTATGTGTATGCATTGTGTGTATAAATTTGCCTTAAATGATCTAAATGTCTCAAAAAAATGTCATAAATCAACCAATTTCTTGCCAAAAAAAAAAAAAAAAAAAGTTTTATTCATGTTTATGTTCCCAGTAACACCCACTAGTGAACTAGCGGAGTCTTCCGAGGGTGGAATTTGAGTGTTAAAAATCGAGTTATTATGGCTATAATTGCTAAGAAGAAATTTGAGTAATGGCGGGTACGTGGCCTGCAATGACGACAGTGGAAAAGGACAGCTTTTTTTTGCTTGTGAGAGTATAAGTCGGATCAGCTGCTGTAAAAACCTCACTCGCTAATCCTTCCCTTCAACTTTCGCCGCCGCGATCCTGCTCGAGATAGGCAAAAAAGTAAGCGGGAGGAAATAAGAGCTTCTTTTTATTTTTTTTTTGGAAAACTTCCTCTAATCTTCTTGTTCATTAAATTTTTAGTCTTTTTTTTTGTTCGCTCGCTGAGCTCTACTGTGAAGTATCGTAGTTTGCTGCGGATTATTCCGATCTATTCGTTTTAAGCTGCTGCGGAGATGCTTTGCTAGTTTTGATTGGCAATAAGTAGGCTTAGATCTCTCTCGGAGCTGTTTGTAAACGACGATCATTGACTTTTTGGGGGCATTTGATCATAGGAGCATATTAAGGTAGCGGTATGAGCTAAGTTATGCGTTTATTTTTGTATCCCCTTTTGTCCGTGGAAATATGGCAATTACTTACTACATATATGGATTAAGCCTACAGAGCAGAGACGATGAGGCAGATGCTAGGTCTCAATGATTCATTTGGTGAATTTTTTTATAAAAGTCCTGGTCGAACCCTACTTTTAGTCTCAAGGTTCAAGATTCCTCATATGTCACCGAAAATTCATTTTGATCTGCACGAATCTTGATGTAAATATGAGATTGAGACCTCAAAAATTAAAATTGGGACCATATGATATGCAATTTTAGTAAATTTATAGTCAAATTGCGCATCTCAAGGAGACGAACCCGACGATACCAAAATCAGTCTAATTCGAGCCCAAATAAGTCCGAATCAAGAGTCTAAAACATATTTGGAGGTTCAAAGCATTAATTGGATAACCAAATGATCGTTGAATCGAGCGGATTGACAAGATGAATCCGACAAGCCCAAGATTGCCTAATTCTGATATCATTTGGGCACTCAAATGCTTGATAAACTCTCCACAATCAAGGGGATCAATATAAGTCGTCCATTGAAACACTCCCAACATGCCCTCGATCTTCTCTATATTTATGAAGCATGACACTCTTAAAATACTATAAATAGGCCTCCATTCTTCACATGAGGGAGGGGAGAAAGAAGAAGAAAGTTTGGGGAGCTCTCTTGCCATCGATTGCTGTCAGAGTTCTTCCCGACCTCCGCCGAAGTTTTTTCCCGACCGTCATCGGAGTTCTTCCCAAACATCGTCGGAGCTCTCTTTCCATCGACCAACGTTAGAGTTCTTCCCGACAGTTGCCAGAGTTTTTCCCGACCGCCATTGGAGTTCTTCCCGACGGCTGTCGGAGTTTCTTCCCGACCATCGCCGTAGTTCTTCCTAACCGTTGTTGGAGCTCTCTTGCCATCGTTCACCGCCGGAGTTATTCACGACTGTCGCTGTAGTTCTTCCCAACCGCCGTCGGATTTCTTCCAGACAGCCGCTAGAGTTCTTCTCAACTAACGTTGGACTTCCACCCGTTCACCGACCGTCGTTGGACTTCCTCCTATTTATCGGCTGTTGCCAACCATCGGTCGTCGCTGGACTTTATGAAGGGACTGAAACCAAAGATCCGTGCCGCAGTCAGAGTGATGAGACCTCGGGACTTGGGAGAGTTTATGGAGCTAGATCAATTGGTGGAGGATCAGAGACACCTGGAAAGAGGAGTAGGAGGCAACAATTCTGGAGGCTCGTATAGGATGACCACCACCTTTTTAGCACCCAAGGAGCCAACACCGGGTACTCTTAGGGAGACTTCGAAGGAGAAGACTACCGGAGGAAGACCTGGAGATAACTTCAAGAAGCTCACAGAAACAAAATTACATGAGAAGAGAGCGAAAGGGGATCTGTTTCAGATGTGACGAGAGGTATACGATGGGGCATAGGTGTAAGGACATAACTCTTCTAGTTCTTACCATTTGTGATGAAGAAGGAATGGAGGAGGGTGTCATTTTTCCACCTTTCAGACAAGGTGGATCTTTGGGAGTGGAGTATTGTTATGGACCGGTCCAGCCGGTCCACACGAGACCGGCCCGTTCAACAGAGGCGGAACTTCTCCACCTCTTGCGTTTGCCACGTGAGCCGCCAAAGGCGACGAAGCATTTTAAGAAGAATTTTTGAGGGATTGAGAGGGAATTTTGAATGTAGGGACTGTTTAGGGATTTCCTTTTTATTTGTATGCATTAAGTACTTTGTTTTTATAGGATTAGGGCATCCTGAATTTGGTTGAATTTGGGATCTCTTATATTTAGGTTTTTTTTTGCTCTAACGGCGTCTAGAGATTTGGGAGAGATCAATCCTCCTCTCGAATAGAGGATCAATTGTATCTTGCTATTTTCTATTTTCCGTTTCCTTTTCATCATATAATACAAATTATCTAATGTTTTCCTATTTTGTGTGGATTTTGGTGGAGAATTTCGCTGTTTTCTGAAGATTGATAGGAAATACTTGAGATCTACAAGTGCTTCCTATCAATTTGATTGCTGAAATATTGATCCTGATTTATGGAATTGATTGATGATTAATTGGGGCATATTTTGTTTGTTGTATAGTCCTTAATTCTTGCATCATCAAGTAGTTTTCCATCTAGGGAAGGGGGCGATAATTGACAATTTGTATTTCTATAATTTGTAGATGAGGCGAACTTAAAGTAGAAAGAAAAAAAAGAAAACTTGACTGATGGATTGGTTGATGGAAAGATATGTATAATGCCTAACACAAGTAGTTGGAATAGAGCTCATGTTTGCCATTAGGATTGTTAAGGAATGAGATTTCTAAAAAAAAAATCTTTTTGAGATGCAGCATGATCTTGGTAATTGTGAGCTGGTAATTAGGTTGAAGCTTTTTCACAATGGAACATGCTTGTAAATGTTTACTGATTAGCTTATCAAGATGGAATTCATAATTTATAATTTACAAGGACTTTAAATGGCGAAGCTATGATCATAACTTGTAATAGAAAGGATATTAGAGGGTAAAGATTTTAAAAGCATCATATTCATCATGCTGTGGTATTTGAAATGCACTAACATTGAATTCATCGGTAGACTATTTAATTTGGTTCAGAGGCATTTTCTGCAAAAAAGATGTTTCCATGTCTTAGGTTTTGTTTGGAACGACTTTCTTATTGCTTCTTAATGCAACTTTTTATTATTAAGAAGCAGTAAGAAAACCGTCCCAAATGAAGCCTTAGTTGAGTTGCTGGCCGAACTAGAACTTTTTGTTTTCTCAAGCACACTTGAATACGTGGAAGCTTAACTAATCTTATATGATGTGTATGCTTTTTGTCTTAATTAGATCCTTATGGTGAAATGGCTGAAATCATTGCTATGGAAGCCCTTACCATTAGGCCAGATGCATTAAATTATGGAAATCTGTATATCTTTGATAAAATTGTGGTTTTTTTGCATGCCCTTTTACACTAGTCTTCTGGTGGGTATGTTGTTGGCATCCATTTGTAAAAGGTGAAAAAATTATGTTTACGACTACATATTGAGTTTGTCAAGATTTGTGCCTGTACTTGGCCATTGAAAAGTAGGGGTGTCAATTTTGGGTCACGGGTCGGGTTCGAGTCAAACCCGGAACTAACCCGACACTATTCGGGTTCGGGTCAACCCGACCCATTTTTACAAACGGGTCGATTTTCTGGACCTGACCCCGACTCGACCCGACCCGTTTAGGGTTTAGGGACAGCGTGGTAGCCAGGGCAGCAGCAACGGCAGTGGTGCCGGCGGCTGAAGGGGCAGCGGCAGCGATGTCGGCGATGCGAGTCACGGACACGACGCGACATGCGGAGTCACGGACCGTTGGTCAGGCGGAGTCGCGGACGTAACGCTAGTCACCCGGACGCGATGCGGGTCAACCGGACAGCGGACACGACGCTTGGAGTCGCGAACGCGACGCAACGCGTTGCAGCAGGGCAGGCAGACCGCTGGTCAGGCGGGGCAAGCAGGGCAGCTGGGGTAGGCGGGGTCGCGGGGCAGGAGGGCAGGGCCGGTCAGGATTGGATTTCGGGTCATTCCCGGGTTCTAGTGTCAACCCGACGGGTTCGGGTCAACCCAAACCCAAAATTTTCGGGTCGGGTCCAATATTGACAGGTATATTGAAAAGTGATTTCTCTAGGAATAAACCTCTCTAATTGAAGCCATTAAATACCTATGCCACGCAGGGCATGCGGAGGTGGGATATGAGTAATGGAACCATTTTATGGAATGGTGATTGGGAATTGTCATATTTTTCATTTATTATGTTTGTTAGGTTTGTATGTATATTTATTTTTTTGGGGTGTTTTTGATGTCATGCAAATTGAAAGCTATTAAACAGATTCAAAATGCAGGGCAACTTAGGGTAAACAAAAATGGCGCTCTGGTTTCAGTGCTGAATTTTTATTTGAGTGACCTTCACATTCGTAAGAAAGTAGGTTTTTATGAATTAATCTAGCAAAAGAAAATTGAGATGTGTTCCTTTTTAGGATTTCTTCCACCAACTCTTACAGTTGCATGTGAATTTTCCTCATTCGTTGTAATAGCTGTACTGAAGTAAGAAACATGTTTTTTTGTTTGATTGATAGACCAAAGAAATTTTTTCATATTTTAGTTTTGATACTATCTAATATCTATTTTGAAATTGCCATTGGGAGATGCATGCTTTGCTTTTATTTTGCATAATTTTTAAAGAAGGCTGTAGTTTGTGTGCAATCATTTTGAACTTAACCTGACATCTGACTTGTTTTTGTTAGGGAAAATGCAAGGGATATACCAGGCCATCTGTTCACATGGAAATATTCTCAAGTACTCTATCCTGAAACATGTACGTGTTGTAGCTCCAGTTGCCCGGCCACTTATATTTTCACGAGCCGAGACAGTGGCTGCTACTAAACTAGAAGAGCATGGATTTGAGAGTACAACGATTGCAGATGTTTTGAATGCCAAAGGAAAAGGTGCTGATGGGTCCTGGCTCTGGTGCTCTACTGAGGACACTGTGTATGATGCTGTGAAATCTGTGAGTATTTTTCTATTCTCATTAATTTTCCTTGGTGCTCTCTGTATTTTATTGATTGTTAATGCATTTGGTTTAAGCTATTTCAGTGCCTGATAAAGTGACTGCTCTTCTTATTAACTCCCTCTCTCTCTGGAGACTTTAGCTGGGCTTAGCTCTATGTATTTCTTGATTGTTTATGCATTTGGTTTAAACTACTTCAGTGCCTCATAAAGTGATTGCTCTTCTTATTACCTCCCCCTCCCTCTCTCTCTGGAGACTTTAGCCGGACTTAGCTCAAACTTTCTTGCATATTTGGTCTGTGCTTTATTCAGCATTATTGATACTAATACACGACCAATGCAAAAACAATACATAGAAAAAATATTAACCCAGGCACCCAGCATATAAAAGACTTCTGAACTAAGCTCACCTAGAAATATTCCCTCTCATCAGTCTGCACTTTTTATTGGGGTCTGAGAACTTGCACTTCCTTTGTTTCCATGATAGTGACGGTTGAAGTAAACTCCTTTCAGATGACACAGAACAATGTAGGAGCTCTGGTGGTGCTAAGTCCTGGAGCAGATAAAGCGATTGCTGGAATTATTACTGAAAGAGGTACTATAAATTTTATTTTTTGGTAATGCATGGTCTTTATATGACAAATTTATTCTTAGTAATTCTTACCAATGAGGTTTTTCATTTATGAAACTGGGAATTTATCTATTTTTTCCCCCCCAATTTAGGCTGCGTCATAGAATTTAATATTAAACCGTCTAAGCAATAGAAATTGAAATCAGCCTGACTATCTTACACAGATTATTAGGTGCTTTTTAGCCCCACATGTTCCATTTGCAGGGTATCTGCTTGAGGCTTTAAGGCGCTTTATTAATGGATGTGTGCGAGTTTACACTAGACTAAAATATAGAAAAATTAATGGGTGCGCTGAGCAAAATTTATTTAGTTTTATTATCTAGTAGTTGATCTGTAATTTTTTATTTTCAGTTATTAGGACGTGTCTATGATAATGGCCTATGAGAATTAAATGCGTTCATTAGGTTTAGTTTAAATGACTGGCTTTATCTACTATATTATCATATTATTTTAAATGGGTCTATCCTAAGTTGTTAGTTTTGTAGCAGGCTTGGGTCTTATTTAGGTCCTTTTTTTTGCAATGTGATTTCTGTAAGGGTTTGATTTCTTCATCTGATTTCTATAGTGCTTATCCCTATTATTCAGTTCTTGCGGCCTGATCTTTGCGTGCGGCTCCTATAACTCAGTAACACAGTTATGTGTGTCGGTTTCTTATGGCTTTTAACATGTAGTTTATTTGGGAATTTTATTGTTGTATTAATGATAATATTTGGCATTTAATTTGAGCCAATGAGAAGCAGTTGACAGCGGAGTTTGGTGTATAAAGTTAACTTCTGATTCTATAATTTTTTTTTAATTCTTGCTTTCAATCGTATGCATGTTGAATGTGATTCCTTCAAGCATGCTATATGTGCGACTATTTAATTCTGGGGAAGTCATCTTTTCTACTAACTTGAGGCCTTAATTTTCTTTATTTGGCGAAGTATTTTCTTTATCTAGTTTCTTCTATATATCTCATTCTGGCTTGCTAGATTTCTTGTTTTTGTTTAAATTTTATATAATTGAGATTTTGGTTACTATGAAACAACTTTTTTCTTTTATAGTTATTTTTTTAAGTGTCAAAATATTTGTTGTTTTTTTCAAATTTAAGCAAACGTTACATATCATTGGTGTTTTGCAAGTAAAGAAAGTTGTAGTATATTTAGTGGTTGTTGATGACTTCTAATTTCTTTTATATAAATTTTAAACTGCATTTATTGTATCATTTTGATTGCATTAGAAAATCTAAACCCTTAACTGTCATGCATCACTCTAACTGATAGAAACTATATCACTTACCTCTTCCAAAACTGAGGACCTTCTTATTTTCATTGTGGTGCTAAAAGTGAGGAGTCTTAGTTGGGTTTAGGCATGTGTATTTGTTTTAAAGATAAAAAATTGCTTTGAAAATCAGGTCAATTTTCTTGGCTCGGATTGTTCTTTGATTGAAATTGATGAGCTAGTTAGCAAGCTTAGCTCGGTTTCGATTAGACTTGAGTTGAGTTAGGATTATATCAAATTGAGGTAACTTGAGATTGGATTGAAATGTTTATGCATGCATGTATGGATGTATGCACAAATATATGTATGTACGTATTTATATTTGAATTAATGTGTGTGTATATTGTGTATATGTATGAGTTCATGCATGTAGTACTAAGCATTTATCTTAGGAGATTAAAAATAGATTGAGATCTAATCTATTTTTTTTTGTTATTCAAAGCTAACGAACCATGTATGTTTGACATCGAGATTGGATCAAGTCAGAATATAAACATACTTGTTGGATTGGCTTCAGGTTGGATTGAGTGATTTTGATCTTGAGATATGATCATTAACAGCATTATTTGGGTGTATATGCAAATATATTTATGGCTTTATTTATGTTTGAAATGTGTGTATATATTGTATATATGTATGAATTCATGCATGTAGAACTAAGAATTTATCTTAGAAGATTAAAAAAAGATTGAGATCTGATCTTTTTTTTTTGTTATTCAATGCAAACGAGCCATGTATGTTTGACATCGAGATTGGATCGAGTCAGTCTATAACATACTTGAATCGGCTGAAGGCCTGATTGGGTGATTTTGAGCTTGAGATCTGATCATTAACAGCCATGATTGGGTTCTCCAGTCTGGCAAGTTCTCAAGTCAGCTCAGGTAGCTTGACATTTTTAAATATTTCCTGTCACAGTTATTTAGACTCCAAGCCCCAATTCCTTCGAAGTCCTGCTGTGCTCTGACTGGCCCATAAAAGGTGTCTAAGAGCCCGCACCACTGTCAGAATATTTTCTCTGAAAAGTGATACTAAGTACCAAAAAAATTTCCAAGGAAGCTTTGCGCCTTGGTCCAGCTACTCAATTGCAACAAACGTGAGCTGTTTATCAGAGCATGTTCATCTTTTCTTGATTTTCATGAGACATCACTATCTTATGGAGAAATCGATTCTCAGTTTATTCCATTTCTTAACTCTCTCTGATGAACCTGACTTATAGCCACTTCTGTCTATTAGCCGTGAGAAGCACTAATTGCTAGATCTATGAAAAGGTTTCGTTTTGTTGTTTTAGTTTATCAAACTATTCTTCAGTGAGTGAGCTTGATTGTGATCAATTCTGTTTGACTTATTGCAGATTATCTTCGGAAAATTATTGTTCAAGGAAGATCGTCAAAGACTACTAAAGTTGGCGACATCATGACTGAAGAGGTAGTTATACTGTAAAGCCTGTTTGAGGTGAAAATCTTCATCTCAAATAATCATTAATCGCTAAACTTTAGAAGTTTTTGTTAGAATGACTCTTTCTTTCATATCAACTGAATTGATAAAAAAGTTAGAATGATTCATTCTATACAGACTATGAAGAGCGCATCCCAAATTGACATAGATTGAGAAACTTATATTTGAGACATTCTACTTGAAAATCTTATGCTTTTTCAGATCTTAATTTTAGATCCTTCCAATTACTATTTGGTCACCCTTGTTATTTCATTTTGGCAGAATAAGTTGATCACTGTGACACCAGATACCAAAGCCCTAAAGGCCATGCAACTCATGACAGGTTTGAACTGTGCATCAGTGTTTTTACTTGCATTTGAGGGTTCATTGGTTGCTTGTTGATAAAAATACCTTTTAAAAAGCTATAACTTAATTTTTAGTCATTTGTAAAAATTGAAATCATTATATTTAGAACTCATTTGGTTTTTTAAGTTAGAAAATTGTTATAACTGTTGCAAACCTTACTGATCTAGGGTCTTTTTAAAATGATTACAATTTACAACTAAGACTTTTAAGTGGGTTCATGAGTAAAAGAACTTGTTATTTCAAGGTTAGTAATACTCAACCGTAAATCACTTCGAAGAAAAAACATAAATATCAAATTAGTTTGCTTAAAATTAGAACACGATAAATTGTCTTAAAGAGAACTTAATTTATGTAATTTAAAAACTATACTACTTTTTTTAAATTTTAATAACAAATCAATGACATAATTAATTATTTCTAGTTAATTAATTATAAATTTTCTTACTAATTATGTATAAAATATGATTAAATTATTCTTGCAAATAAAATAAATGCTATTTGATTATTATTTTCAAAATGATAATAATAAGATTTGAATGATCTATTAGAATGAACAAAAATCTTACAGAATATAATCTATTACAAAAATTATATCCAAATTCATTAAAGCAAGATAAGTAAATTCTTAAACAAAATTTACAAAATTTTGCAAATAATTATTATCAAAATTTATGTAAAAATTTAAAATTAGCTACAAGAATTGAATACAAGAGGTTTATGTGATTCGATACGTTTGTGCTTACATCCATAGGGAGAAAGAGAGGGTATGTTCTTAACAAACAATTACATAACCATTAACTAAATATAAATCTTGTTTAATGTTTTCAAATAATCACAAATACTTAAAAGAAAAAGATTAAGGATAAAATTTGGTTAACTCTAGTCAAAACAAAATAATAATAATAATAATAATAGCTTTTTTACCCGTAGTATTCATCCAACTGATTTCTTGCTAAATAGTTGATCACCAACAATACCCTAACTTTCGTTGTATGCATACAAGAGGCTCCAATTGGAAATGTTGTAAAAAAAAAGCTTCAATTGGAAAGGTAAAACACAATATTCTTACATTTTTCACTCTTCTCGATCTTCCTCTTGGTTTCGGTGGAAGAAGCAAGAAAGAGCCGAATTTGTGCCTCCTTATGCGCGCTCTCTCTCTCTCTCTCTCTCTTGCTTGGTTGGCACCTTACCCCTCAAGAGTTGCTCGATTACCCTTCTAATGCTAAGCCCCATATGCTTAAATAAAAAGAAAAATAAAATACAAGAAAATGACAACATGATAGGCTACATGCTAGGCTAAACAAGAGATAAATTTGTTAGCAACAAAAACATGTATAAGAAAGTTTATTTAGTGTTAATTATATCATCTAATTAACGAGCAGCTCTTGAGGGGTAAGGTGCAAACTGAGTGGTTGGGATTGTGGAGCCGAGAGAGAGAGAGAGATTCGAGCATGATTTGGGCTCAAGGGGAAAGCTTTCAGTTCTTTCTTGTTTCTTCTTACTAAATCAAGAGGAAGATCTAGAGGAGTGAGAGAGGTAAGAACTTTGTGCTTTATCTTTCTAATTGGAGCTTCTTATATGCAAACAACAGAAGCTAGGGCATCATTGGTGATCAACTATTTTGTAAGAGAAACCAATTAAATGAAGACTACAGGTAGAAGAGCTATTATTCTTTTTTGCTTTGGTAAGAGTAAATAAAGTTGTATCCTTTCTTAATTATTTTTTTAAAGGATGTGTAGTTCTTTAAAAAAGTTAACTTATATTTACATCTTACTAATTGTTATGTAATTGTTTGTGAATTTAATAAAGAAAAGCCCTCTCTTTCTCTCCGTGGATGTAGGCGTGAACACGCTAAATCACATAAATATCTTGTGTTCGTTTCTTATTACTAATTTTTTAATTTTTACATATATTCTGTTAAAAATTGTTTGCATGATTGTGTAGATTTTATTTAGGAATTTATTTATTTTATTTTAATGATTTTGGTGATAAATTTTGTAGTAAATTGATATACTTTGCAAGATTATTATTCATCGTAATAGGTCATTTAAATATTATGGTTATCATTTTGGAAACAATAATCAAATGATATTTTTTTTTGTAACAAGAATAATTTAGTCATATTTCATGCATAGTTAGTGGAAAGTTTATAATTAATTAATTAAAAATAATTAATTACATTGGATTTGTTATTGTAATTAAAAGAATTAGTATATTTCTTAAATTGCTTAAATGAAGAAGTTTTTACTAGATAGTTGTAATTGTAGGCTAACCAATTTAATCTCTAAGTTCTGTCTTTAAAATGATTTGCGGATGAATATTAGTAACCTTAAAATAACAGTTTCTTTTACTGAACCTGAACAGTTTTGGAAAGCCTTAGTTGCTGTTATTTTTTATAAGATCATAAGTCAATTGTGTTTATAATAGTTATAACAAAAATCTATTTTAAAAAAAATTAAAATCCATTTAATTCCTAATTGGTTAGGAATAGCTTGAATTCAATCTTGTTTGTAAACTCCTTTGGATATAATGATTTCATTTTGAAATGAAATCGTTATTTTCTAAAACTTATGTTTTTATTCACAAACAACCTATATGAGTCATTGAGGGGTTTATCTGAGTTCAAAATTCATTTTGTTTTAAAAAATTCAAAAAAAGAATGAAAATAAGAAAATTTAATCATTTTCAAAAGCTTGTTTTCATCTTCAGCAATCCAAAAGGATCCCTTAGATGGTATACTTCCAATAAAAAAGTTATCATATCCCTTCAATGATTGATTGGCAGATAATCGAATTAGGCACATTCCTGTGATCAACGAGAATGGAATGCTTGGCATGGTTTCCATTGGAGATGTTGTGCGAGCAGTTGTTACAGAGCACAGAGAGGAGCTTAATCGGTTAAATGCCTATATACAGGGTGGCTATTAGCATATTAGGTTGTGTGCTTGAAGAATGATCAGAGTCATAGATAATAGTGATGATGCTGAAATAAATAAAATTAGAGTATCTTCGTTGCATTGTAATAGAACTTTATTTGCGGCTTTATCTTGGACTTGTTTGTTCCATGTAAATATGTTGTGCTTCTCCTTCCTCCTCTCTGTTTGTAGTATTTTGTATGAAGAAGAATAATGATTGACTATTGAGAGTCTGGCTTGATATAATCAAGTTTCATTTGGTAATTTTCTTTTCTTTGATTTGCCTTTTTTTCATTCAATAATTTAGCTTTAATTTTAATTTACTGTTGTTTATTTCCTATAGCCGGATATATTACCTTTTTTATGCTATTCTCTATGCTAAACATTTGTTGTTGTGTAGCTTTTGTGTAGCTGGTCTCCTTCTTATTCTTTCTGCAGGGAACCCAATGAGGGAATGGAGACCTAGCAAGCGAAACTGAGTGGGAGAGAGCACGGGCTTCTTTGTCTGAAGAAAGTAGGAAAAATTATTTTGTCCGGATTCCAGCCCCCAATGAAAATGCGCCACGTCCGGTACCGAGTTTATACCGAGCGGTACTCGGTATCTGAACGTGAACCGGACGATTCTCCCGTCCTGTGTCCACACAGAATATCTTTCGAAGAATAGAGAGGAAGAATGAGAGGAATTTTCAGGAGGGCTTCTGGCGCGGGAGAGAGCATTGGGAGCGGGACATCCATGAAAGGGAGGTAGAGAGTGGTTGCCTTCCTCAATTAGATCTTTGAAGTTGCTCGTGGCAATCAACAGTTGAAAGGAGGCTTTTTCTGGCTGATACTTGAATCATGGAGCCAATATCTAAGCGAAGTTTAAAAAGAAAATGGCATGAAAACTAGGTACCCTTTGCTGTATTCTTTACTGTTTTTACAATAAAACAAAATCTTGACTTGTTTTCAACTGAGCTATTGTTGGATGCTTGAGAAATTGAGTATGTTCAAATCATTTTTGTCATTTGATTCTTTGATGCTCTAAGTTTTTCATGTTTTCTTGGAATTTGTTGGAAAGGTCATTGGCAAGTGTTAACTTTGCTTTGTGATTGTTCGTTTTATAATAACGAATTTCAACTGTTAGGTCATACTATATAATAAAAATCATTTTGAAAAGTCTTTAGTTGATTTCACCATTTGGGTGATCCTAAATTTGGTTATTATCAGAATATAGCATTAGCGTATTATAATGTAGTGCTCATTAATTTTAAGGAATATTATAATTAGGTTAAATAAATTGTTGAAACCAAGGAGGAAGATCTGTCCGGATTCCAGCCCCCAATGAAAATGCGCCACGTCCGGTACCGAGTTTATACCGAGCGGTACTCGGTACCGCTCGGTATCTGAACGTGAACCGGATGGTTCTCCTGTCCGGTGTCCGCCCAGAATATCTTTCGAAGAATAGAGAGGAAGAATGAGAGGAATTTTCAGGAGGGCTTCTGGCGCGGGAGAGAGCATTGGGAGCGGGACATCCATGAAAGGGAGGTAGAGAGTGGTTGCCTTCCTCAATTAGATCTTTGAAGTTGCTCGTGGCAATCAACAGTTGAAAGGAGGCTTTTTCTGGCTGATACTTGAATCATGGAGCCAATATCTAAGCGAAGTTTAAAAAGAAAATGGCATGAAAACTAGGTACCCTTTGCTGTATTCTTTACTGTTTTTACAATAAAACAAAATCTTGACTTAGTTTTCAACTGAGCTATTGTTGGATGCTTGAGAAATTGAGTAGGTTCAAATCATATTTGTCATTTGATTCTTTGATGCTCTAAGTTTTTCATGTTTTCTTGGAATTTGTTGGAAAGGTCATTGGCAAGTGTTAACTTTGCTTTGTGATTGTTCGTTTTATAATAACGAATTTCAACTGTTAGGTCATACTATATAATAAAAATCATTTTGAAAAGTCTTTAGTTGATTTCACCATTTGGGTGATCCTAAATTTGGTTATTATCAGAATATAGCATTAGCGTATTATAATGTAGTGCTCATTAATTTTAAGGAATATTATAATTAGGTTAAATAAATTGTTGAAACCAAGGAGGAAGATCTTGAGTGATCTTCTTGCAAGATCTAGAGAGGGAGAGAGGAGGGAGAGGGAAACCATGAGCTAAAAAACCCAGCAATCTTTATTCCCTTGACTGCAATGCCTAAAACAAACTAAATCCTATTTATAGGCTCCTACAAGCTATACAAATAGCTACACAAATGGTTATACTTGCCATACAAAAAACCTATACAAAAAGCAAACCTAAAAATCTGGAATAATATCTAACAATCACCCATTAGTCCAGATTTTACAAAACAAAAGATAACCACTATTCATAAAGAACAGCCAAAGAACAACCCTGTCGATCTCCTCTGCCAAAAGCGTTCACCGATAATTAAAAGTTTCTCAAGAATTGATCAATCAACTTCTTGAGTTTCTAGCTCCACCTCCCGACAGATCTTCACCTGTCGCACTGCGTCCAACGCAGCCAATCCCAAGCACCCCTAGCCCGGCTTCCGCGCCCTGTGTATCCACCTTCACCCTACGCCTCAGTGCCCGCGCCTTGCGCCTCCAGCCAGCATCCAATGCTTTCAACCCTGCGCCTGCGCCTTGCACCCATGTAGTATGTCACCAACCACATCCTGCACGTATCCACTCGTGCAGCGAGCCCTGCGCCTTCACTTGCGCTTCGCTCGTCACCAGTGCCCCGCGCTCCTATGCGGCCTCCTCGTGCACCGCACTACCTCGCACCTCCAAGCGCCCCGCACTTTCAACACTGCTCTCCAAGAACAGCCGACACTACCTCAGTGTCTCCCGGATTCCACCTGAAGTCTAAAACTCCACCTTATTCGTTCAGCAGATCTCCAACAGTAAAAAAATAAGAAGCTTAAAGAGAACAGCAGGAACCGAAAAAAAATGCCAAAGAACAGGGATAAAATCCCAAATTGAAACTTGATTCAAGATCAAGCAAAAAAATCTGGCCTCAACGACTTCCATCTGATCCTGCCTCCGGTAACCCCGCTGGACGTCCGGCCTGTTCGGCCGATCCAAAATCCCGATCAAGAATCCATGGAACGCTCCGGACCACCTCCAGTTTCTCCGGTCAAAACCAAGCCTCAACACCTCTTACGTATGTCTAATGCCTTCTTTCCTTGATCTTGCAACGTGCTTTGCACGATTCGCTTGAGCAAGCACGTCGACGGCACCGGCAGCCACCACTTCCTCTCTTTTCTTGGATAGAACACCTTCCTCCTTCCTTGATCGCCACCAGGGCTCTGATACCAAATTGTTGAAACTAAGGAGGAAGATCTTGAGTGATCTTCTTGCAAGAGATAGAGAGGGAGAGGGGAGAGCCAAACTCAGAAATTATGTAATTCTATATTCTGAACGGAGGTAAGCCGACGTCAATTCGGGATCAGATGGATGCTGTTGAGGCCAAGTGAAATAAAGTTTACAGAATTTTTGGCTCCTCCCTCCCTCTCCCTCTCTATCTCTTGCAAGAAGTTCTCTTAAGATCTTCCTCATTAGTTTCAACAATTTGGTATCAGAGCCCTGGTGGCAATCTTGAAGGAGGAATGTGTTCTATCCAAGAAAAGAGAGGAGGTGGAGGCTGCCGGTGCCGCTGACATGCTTGCTCAAGAGATTCATGCAAAGCACGGTGCAAGATCAAGGAAAGAAGGCAGATCGCGTGCAAACGTAGCTGGGGCGTCGGCTGGAAGATCGGCCGAATAGGCTGGACGTCTAGCTGAGTTCCAATACCGGAGGCGGAAGCCGGAGGCGACTTCGGTAAGCATCTTGATCGGGACGCTAGGTGGACTCTTGCCGCAAGAAGGCGGACGTGCTGTGTGGCTTGGAAGGAGTTGGGAACTGCTACGTTGTTTCTCCGGCGACGGCATTACGATGTTTTTTTGAAATCAAGGCGGTGACCATCAAAGGCAAGCCTCATTTTGCGGATTTCAATCTTGGTCTCGACATCCAGAGCTTGTTCGCGTGAATCATGGTGATATCAGAATTTGCCTGTGCATGAGAGGCAAACAACCAGTACCTTTGCACGCGAGGCCGCTGGATCGGACTGACCAGAGTAAGAAAGCTGAACCGCGGAAGGCAGTGTGGGGGGGTGCTTGCGGGGGTGCGGAGCTGCGTCCGGTGGGGTTACCGAAGGCTGGAGTTTTTGCATGATCTTGAATCAAGTTTCGTTTTGGGATTTTATCACTGTTCTCTGGCATTTTTTCGGTTCCTGCTGTTCTCTTTAAGCTTCTTGTTTTTATTATTAAAGATCTGCTGAAGAAATAAGGTGGAGTTTTGACTCCGGGTGGAGTCCGGGAGATAAAAAGATCGGATTGGATCTTTGAGGTGGAGTCGGCATGTTCTTGGAGAGCAGTGCCAGGAGTGCGGAGCGCTTAGAGGTGCGAGGTCGTGCGGTGCACAAGGAGATCGCATAGGAGCGCGGGGCACTGGTGACGAGCGGAGCGCAGGTGAAGGCGCAAGGCTAGCCGCCAGGTGGATACGTGCAGGATGTGGTTGGTGACAGACCACATGGGTGCAAGGCGCGGGCGCGGGGCTGAAAGCGTTGGACGCTCTGGAGGCGCAAGACGCGGGCACTGAGGAGCAGGGTGCAGGTGGATGCACAAGGCGCGGAAGCCGGGCTAGGGGTGCTCGATTGGCTGCGTTGGACGCAGTGCGACAGGTGAAGATCTGTCGGGAGGTGGAGCTAGAAACTCAAGAAGTTGATTGATCGGTTCTTGAGAAATCTTTTAACTGTCGGTGGACGCTGTTGGCGGAGGAGATCGACAGGGTTGTTGTTCTTTGGCTGTTCTTTAAGAACAGTGGTTATCTTTTGTTTTGTAAAATCTGGACTAAGGGGGTGATTGTTAGATATTATTCCAGATTTTAGGTTTGTTTTTGTATATGTTTTTTGTATGGCATATGTAGCCATTTGTGGAGCTATTTGTATAGCTTGTAGGAGCCTATAAATAGGCTTTAGTTTGTTTTAGGCATTGAAGCCAAGGGAATAAAGATTGCTGGGTTTTTTGGCTCGCGGTGTCCCTCTCCCTCCTCCTCTCTCCCTCTCTATTATCTTGCAAGAAAATCTCTCAAGAAGATCTTCCTCCTTTGTTTCAACAATTTGAAGCAATCCTAAAAATCTGGAATAATATCTAACATAAATTGATTTGGATGTATGTTCATAAGCCCAACTGTGAAGAAGATGTTTGAAATCTATTGAAGAAATCACGTACATATTGATAGGTTCATAATTGGAAATACTTGTTGATCTCAAGTATTTCCTATCAATCTTTGGAAAACAGCGAGAATTCTCCACAAAAATCCACATAAAACCACGAAACAGTAGATAATTTGTATTATTTGATAAAAGGGAAACGAAAAATATCAAGACACAATTGATCCTCTATTCGAGGGGAGGATTTTTCTCTTTCAAATCTCTAGATGCCGCTAGAGCCCAAAGGAAACCTAAATCTAAGAGATTTCAAATTCAGCCAAATTCAAGATGTCTTAACCCTAGAAAAATAAATTATTTAATGCATACAATTCAAAAGAAAATATTTAAACAGCCTCTACTTTCAAATCTCTCCCAACTCATTTCAAAAACCTTTCTAAAAGGATTTGTCAGAACTGGGCGGTCGGCTCCTGCATATAGGAGGCGGAACTCTCCGCTTGTTTCGCACGAGTCAGTCCTGTGTGGACCGTCTGGACTTGTACAATGGACCAATCTAACAATTCAATTATAGGAATTATTCATGCAAACTTGTAGAAATTAAGTTTTTTTTTTGCTGATTTAACGAATGTAGAGTTTGTTTATTAGCAGTTTTAGGTGATTTGGGCATCAGTACAAGCCAAATTACCCTAATGGTCTCAGTATTATTTTTTTATTTTGAATGCTGAATGCCTTTCAACGCTAACGGATAATGATCTTGGTAAGATCCATTATATGCTGCCATGTCTTCGTTTTTTTTTTTTCCAGGAAAAAGACAACTGGAAAGAGAGGTTATAGACTTATACAGGATTGAGAACAGCACTGCATATAAAATGAGGATTAGAGGAAAGACTTGTTAAATTATGTTTTAGCCAAGATTTTAAATGTGCTTTCTTTTTCGTTCTTAGGCTTTGTTTGGGACGGTTTTTTTAGACTTCTTAAAGCAACTTTCTAGTATAAAAATTTACTTTAATCAGTAAAACAGCCATCCCAAACGAAGCCTTAATCATTATTAGGAGATTTGATCGAATTTTGAGTGAATTTTGGAGCTTTTGATTGTTTTTTTTTTCCTTGTGGTTTTGATGATCTCAATAATTTTGAAGTTATTGAAACTGATTAGAATTGAAATTTTCAGCTATTTTGGGATCCTAATTGGAACCGATTAGCTTTGGCGGTTGCACATCTATTTTAGGCTTTATTTGAGATAGTTTTTTTATTGCTTTATAAAATAATTTTTAAGTACTAATATTTCCTTAAATTGCTTTTTGTATTAAAAAGTTGTTTTAGAAAGTAGTAGAAAAGTTGTTCCAAACAAAACTTTAGTTTAAAAATCATAGGCTGGGAATTTCTTTTTTTGTTTTGTTTTGTTTTTTTATCATTGAAATAGAGCAATTTTGGACAATTTTAGGTCATTTTGAATATCTTGTTTGAGAGATTTTTATATTGATCTGAAAATGGTTTAAATGTGAAAGAATCTTAAATATTTAGTTTTAGAAAGTAATATGATTTTTTTTCCAACGTGGGGGATTTGGACTATTATATATGTTAAAAGGTTGGGGTAGATTCAGTAGCATATAAAATTAGAGAGAGTTGTTTTAGATAGTTTGGTCACATAAAACCCGGTGAGGAGAGTAGATAGATGCCTAGTAGATTTGGCCTATATTAAGCAATGACCATTGTCTATTAGATCAAGGTTTCGTTTGGGATGGCTGTTTTTCTGCTTCTTAAAGCGGCTTTCTAGTACAAAAGTTTTAAATTTTGTACTAAAAAAATACTTTAAGAAGCAGGAAGAAAGCTGTCCCAAACAAAGCCTAAGGTTTGGTTTGGGATTGCTTTCTTATTATTTTTTAAAACAATTTTTAGTACAAAAATTAAAATTTTGTATTAGAAAACAATTTTAAGAAGCAATAAAAAAGCTGTTTCAAACAATTCTTAAATGAGGATTTGATTATTACTAGGACACAATGTATAAAAAAATATTCATGTAGTTAACCAACGCAGTAGATAAAAATTTGATGTTGTTGTTGAAGTTGTTGTGGGGAAGTTGGGACTGATTTTAGAGTTAAATTATGTTTTGCTTGGGACGGCTTTTTTCTACTTCTTAAAGTGATTTTTTAGTACAAAAATTTAAGAAGCGGTAAAAAAAGCTGTCCCAAACGAATCCTGACTGCATGTTACTCTCATATTAATAAGAAAAGGTTAAGCATTTCATCTGTATTAATCCTGCAGTTTTTTTTTTTTTTTATATTAATTCTGCAGCTTTATAAAAGCAAATGAATTTAATTTAAAAACTATTTGAGATAACATAAACAAAATGCAAGAAATCTTCCTTTTTTTGTTCGATTTATAGTAAAAAAGATTGTTTTTAATTTTGTGAAATAAAGATAGATATCTACTTTATTTATTAGAATCTTAGACTTAGATTTAAATTTTCTGAAGATTTACATTTTTTTTATAGATCTATGTCATATGCTGTAGATCTATGATTTTTTGTTTAGACCAGTAATTTTTTTATCTATGTCAAGCTTAAATTTGTTAAATATAATTAGATTTTTTTCCTAATTTTTAAATAATTTATTAGCTTTGAATTTTTATTTATTGGAGATTAATATAGAATTATTAAGTTTAGTTATTTATTAATCAAGGTAATTTATAATTTTATATTTATATGCAAATAATCTAAGTTGGTAAATTTACTTAAATTATTATTTTATTTTGTATAAAATGTTATTATGAAGCAAGAAATAGGTCATTATTGACAATAAAGGGAAGTTAAATTTCTATTTTTACAAAACTTAGAAATGTCTTCCATTAATTTAGAAAGAAGCAAATCAATAACATATTATAGTAGTTAAATGATGATGGTGGTGATGATAAGAGGATGATGATGAAGATGATGATGGCGTGGCTAAACTTGTGGATTTTCGGGAGGTGAGGGTGGTGAAGGAGAAACCATTGTACTAATTGTGGAGGGGAGGGGAGTTTGGATGTTATGAACTATCAATCTTCTAGCAAAAAAGAACATAATTTCAGCCAAAAAATCAATGAGTTCGACCACGCCATTGGCATCTCCAGCTCCATCCTCTCCCTTGTCACCACCATCATCATCCTCTCCTACTTATCATGCAATCGCTTGGCCGCCTCTCCTCGCCTTGCCACCGACCACCAACCAAAATACAATAACAAAATTAGACTTGATGATGCTACACTCAAGACCTGGCCTTAGCTCACCTACGCCAAAGCCAAGCGCTAAGACCTACAAGTAGTCTCCATTGACTATGAGGAAGAGGATAATGATGCTAAGGCAGTGAAGCTTTTGCTTTAGTCCAAGCATTTATTTCACGTGATGTTTGTGGCTAATGATGAATGGTGCCATGTTGAATAGGGCTGTCAAATTTTTACACGACTCGAAATCCAATCCGAATCCGATCCGAAAAAATCTAGGTTAGGGTCAAGCCATACCTGAAATGGGTCGGGTTTGGGTTAAACAAATCAACCCGTTTTAAAAATCGGGTCGGGTTTGGGTTAACCTAGCAACTCGACGTTGACCCGAAATTGACACGAAAACTCTTATTTGACCCAAAAATCCGAGATTGACCCGTTTTGACCCGAAAATCTAAGATTGACCCGATGTTTGACCCGAAAAATAACAATTTTGGGTCAACCCCGGGTCATTCGTGTCGGGTCGGGTTGACCCGGACCCGAATCGGGTCGGGTTGACCCGGACCCGAATCGGGTCGGGTTCGGGTCTGAAAACCTGACCTGTGTTTAAAAATGGGTTGGGTTCGGGTTGACCCGAATAGTATCGGGTCAGTTCCGGGTTCGACCCGAACCCGACCCGTTGACCCGAATTGACACCCCTAAATGTTGAAGCTTTTGGTCACGATGGTTCTACCTAGGATTTTTTTTTTGTTAAGGGTGCAATATGAGGACTTCCCAGAAGGTCACCCATCCTAGTACTATTCTCGGCCATGCACGCTTAATTGCGGAGTTCTGATGAGATTCGGTGCACTAGTGCTGATCTGGTCGCACCCGGTTCCACTTGAAATTGAACGTGTAGATATATAAACACATATGATAATTGAATAAGATACATCAATGTGATCAACAATAATGAAATAATCGTTAGCATGATTTACATTGGAGATATTGTGTGAGCGTTGTAAGGAGCACAGAGGGGCAAAATGGCATATTAAAGAGCCAAAAAAGAGGAAAGAGAAGATGCAAATGTGAAGAGTGAGAGAGGAACATTTATTTGTCTGGAGGGACTAGTGCTGACACTCAATCGTCATGGTCAAAGGTGTCCAGCAAATTATTAGGTCCGGTCACCGGATCTAAAAATAGGTCCAGACATCCAATTAAAACTTGCCACGTTGCCTACGCTTTGACTGTGTTGATTACGTTTTACACACGCTTAACTTAAAATAATATTTTATTAGTATCCGGACTTATCTCTATGTCCGATAACCGGACCTAATAATTTGCCCCAATTAAGGCACATCCATTTTTCTGCAAAAAACTCTCTCTCAACATTATTTGTACCACACAATTGAATTTGATTTGTTGGTCATCCTTTTTGACTATTAATCAATAAGTCTTAGTTTTTTGTATGTAATATGTAAATGTATTTATCTTAATTTATCTAAATATCTTTAAAAATATTTATTTGTATGGACACAAATTAACCAAATTTAGTAAATCCCAGTTAAAATTGGAAAATTTAAGCCCAATGATATCACATGACGGAGATGCTTTCATATTACAATTAATTATTAGAAGCTGCTCGAGCACAAATTAACCTACTTTTTAACCTACCTTTTCTTTGCGCCAACGCTCTGCACAGCATCGACACGACTGATTCTTGATCTACGATGCAAATAATTGCTCACAGAAATTGGAAACGATCTCTTTGTCGGCAGACAAGAGATCGAAGGTCAGCAGTAGTAACTGCAGACGGACAGGTGTGCCTTTCTCGCTCTTCGCTTCCGTTCCTTCTCTGCTTTCCTCTTTTTGCCTCGTTGAATTGATCTGAACGGTTACGGTAGTCGCTCATCCAGGGAAGCTTCTTCGCCTTCTACAACTTCTCCGTCGATATCTATTACTATTTCTCTTAGTTACAGCGAGACGCGCTGAAAAAATTCTGTCTTGTCGCAGCGATTGTCGTATCGGATCCACCTCTTGTTTGCCGCCTCGTTTTTTCTGATACTGCTGCGGAGAAGCGACAGAAGTTCGCTGGTAACCATCTACCCCTTTTGCACCTACCCTGAAGCGAGGAAGCCACGTGACGGGAGCTCGTTGTCGCTCTTTTCTCCCATGCTTCAAGTTCCTAAAACCCGTAAATCCGCCGAACTCCCGGATTTAGTAAATTCGGAATTTTAGGGAAAATGGAACATGATTTAGGATTCCGTAGGACTTAACTTGTTATTTTAGCTGTTTGGCAGGATTTAGGTTAAATCCTGCTTAAATCCTACTCAAATCCTGCAGCCAAACAGTCACTAGAACATTTGTTTTAAGAGTTACATTTTTTTTTCAAATTGACTCGCTTTTGTGGAGGTTTGAGTTTTTACAGAAGTTGCAGAAATCACAATAATTTGTCTTACCTTTATCGATTGTCACTGGTCAATTGGATCCTTGGGCAACTCGGGTAAAAACTTCAACGATTGGGGCCATGTTATAAGATTCTTACATCACCTTTTTACTACTTTCATTCCTCCAAAATTAGAGAAGGTTTATTTATTTGCTTTTTGCTACGAAAATTTTCTTGTAGTTCATCAATATATTGATTGAGGCTAAATATGAATTTCTAAATTCACCATTTTCTCTATTTATTTTTATATTGTTGACTATTATTAGGACATCCTCACTCCAATTCCTTAAGAATTATTAGAATACCAAAACATATAAATATTGTATCAGATAAATAATGCTTAGGTGTCACAATATCACTGGATATCATGAACCGTAACTTGTACTAATGGCTATATATACTACTATACCTATTTGTTAAATCAATAAGAAATACTTTTATATTCTTCTCCGTTCTTTGTTTTGGTATCTGCTTTTCATTCTCCTGTCTTGTTCTTCTACATGGTATCAGAAGATCGGTAATCGGTACCAAGAATGAGCTCAGCAACCTCGAATCCTGGCGATCAACTAGACGGCGAAGGATTCGCCGATCCTCTCATTCCGGCGACATTGAAGTTTGTCGTCACAAATCTGCGCACGCTTGTGCATCTCCAACTTCAAGCCGGCAACTACCCACTATTGAGAGCTCAAATCGCAAAAATCTTTAGGGCAAACCGGTTTGAAAAATTTCTTGAACCCTCCTCTTCTTCTTTGGTTCTGTCTCCTACCCCCACCGCCTCTATACCGAATCCTCAATCATCTCAATGGATTCTCATGGACCAAAACTTGGCCGTTGCCCTATGTTCAACTATTTCCACATCAATTCTTCAATACGTGGTTCATCTTGACTCAACAGCTAAAATTTGGTCTACACTTGAAACACATTTTCAATCCTCCAACAGATCAAAAGTGATTCAACTGAAAAAATCTCTTCACAATATTGCTCTCAAGAATCAATCAATTACCCAGTATTTGACCGACATTAAAGTTCTTATAGACCAAATTACTGCATCTGGTTCTTCGGTTGACAATGAGGATGTGATTCTTTACATCCTCAATGGCCTTCCACCATCTTATCAGTCTTTCAAGACTGCCATACGTACTATGCTAACCCCCATCTCTCTTGACCAACTATACCCCCTTCTCCTCAGTGAAGAAATTAATCTAGCTGCTGATACGGCTCGCTCAACTCCTATGAACGATTCGCAAACCGCTCTGTTCGTGCCAAGAGGTCGCAGTCGTAGATCCCGCAGTCGCAACTACAACAACGTACACAATTCTACTCGCTCTCAGGCTAATCCGAATGCCAATGTTATCTGTCAAAGTTGCTCTAAGAGAGGACACGCTGCAACAACATGCTGGCACAGACTAGATCAAAACTATGGACAATCATCCGCCTCGGATACTCACTGAGCCTTAGCCACACATACAGAGACCCCTCCGTCCAACTGGTATTTGGACTCAGGATCGACATCCCATCTCACCAACTCGCTCGACAACATGTCCAACATCACTTTTCTTATCAAGGCTCCGACATGATCACGGTCGGTGATGGGAGATCGGTTAACATCGCCAACTTCGGCAACGGCTTGTTACCGACTCCCTCTCGTAAGCTTACTCTATCTCAAATCTTTCACACGCCTTCTTTAAAATTTAATTTACTATCTATTTCCAAGCTTACTAAGGACAACAATATTGCTATAATATTTGACCCATCTTGTTTTCAATTCAAGGATTTGAGGACTCCGCAGGTGCTTCTACAAGGCCCGTGTGACAAAGGCTTGTATCCCATAAGCAATACAAATTCGTCATCTCAAATGTCCGCTCTGGCTACCACGAACAGAACAACCCCCTGGCATGATAGGTGGGACATCCCAACATACATGTTTTGAAAACTATAGCTAGTTGTAATCCTACTTTGAATATTTCAATTAGTTCTGTTTCTTGCAATTCTTGCAAATTGTCCAAAGGACATAAAATTTCTTTTTCGAAATCCAATAGCAGAACGCAAACTATTTTGTCGTTGATACATTCGGATGTATGGGGCCCCGCCCCTGTTGATTCTGTTCAGGGTTATCGATATTACGTCATTTTCTTTGACGACTTTAGTCGCTTCACTTGGCTTTTTCCGCTTCGCCAAAAATCCGAAGTTTTTCAAACTTTTGTAAATTTTAAAAACCAAGTTGAAAAATATACTTTGCAAAACATTAAAACCCTACGCACTAACGGAGGCACCGAATTTCTAAACAAGCAATTCTCTCAGTTTCTTGTGACTCACGGCATTAGTCACCAGGTATCCTGTCCTTACACGCCGGAGCAAAATGGCATGGCAGAACGCAAGCATAGACATGTTATTGAAACTTCTCGGACGTTTCTTAAAACTGCCTCTGTTCCATACAAACATTGGCCAGACACGGTCATGACATCCGTGTACCTTATAAACCGCATGCCATCTACGATCACTCACCCTCCTACTCCGTTTAAACTTGTTCACCGAACCAAACCTGAATACTAACATCTTCGTACCTTTGGTTGTGCATGCTACCCGCTCTTGCCTCCTCATACTCACCACAAGCTTCAACCCAACACCATACCATGTGTCTTGCTCGGATACTCCGACACCTATAAAGGTTACAAGTGCTTGGACATTCTCACAAATAAAATCTCCTTTTCCATGCACGTTGCGTTTCAAGAAAACACTTTTCCCTTCAATTTGCAGCCGGACATACAATCCAGAACTTCTATCGAACTTCCACCGCTACTTCTAATGCCAAACTCAGCCGTATCTTCTGCCAGAACTATCAACCAGCATATACCTGCCAACACTTTCACTCCTACACCCGTCTCTAATTCACCTATTTTATCCAATACTGATGACACTACTATTCCCAATTCAGGTTCTCAACCGCCATCCCAAACAATTCATCCGATGATCACAAGAACTAAGACCGGTTCTCTGAAATCGGTGGTGCAGCTGAACCTTCTTCACGCTCGCGAGTGCTCCAGCTCCAGTGAATCTCCTTCCACCTATACCGAAGCTGTCAAGCATCAGCATTGGAGAACAACAATGGCTAACGAATTTCTTGCCTTACAATAACAAGGCACCTGGAGCCTTGTCCCTCCTCCGTCGAATGTCTCCATACTAGGATGCCTATGGACCTATCAAACAAAGTTTCATGCTGATGGCTCGGTAGCTAAGCACAAAGCCCGTCTGGAAGCGCAAGGACATCGTCAAGAATTCGGTTTAAGCTATACCGAGACTTTTAGTCCGGTCGTAAAACTTCCTACTATTCGTATCATGCTTGCAATTGCACTTTATAACAATTGGCAGGTGCATCAACTCGACGTGGCCAATGCCTTCCTTCACGAGAAACTCTCCGAAAAAGTATTTATGACTCAACCTAAAGGATTTGAGGACACCAACAATCCTGCTCACGTTTGTCAACTCCACAAAGCCATCTATGGCTTGAAACAAGCTCTCCGCTAATGGTACAATACATTCACAGATTATCTAACATCCATTGGTTTTAAATGCAGCTCTGCAGACCCATCGCTACTTGTTCTTCATCAACAAACACATAGTATCTATTTACTAGTGTATGTAGATGATATATTAATTACCGGCTCCAATCCAGGATCCGTAACAGCGGTTGTACATAAACTCAGCCAAAACTTTTCCATGGAGCACTTAGGCCATGTCCATGATTTCCTAGGTGTTAAAATCGACAGGAACAAAGACTTCTACTTTCTATCACAAAAGAAGTATGCTACCTCACTGCTACAGCAAACGGATCTCCTCAATTGCAATTCAGCCGCCAATCCAACCTGCATGAAAATACCAGATAACCCCAAAATCGATTCCACACTCTTAGATCCGGCATTCTACCGTAGCATCACAGGCTCCCTACAGTATTTAACTCTCACTCGACCGGATATCGCCTACAGTGTAAATCAACTCTTCCAACACATGCACAATCCTGAACCGCAACATATCTACATGCTTAAGAAACTCTTACGATACATCAAAGGTACGCTACAGTTTGGAATTCCTATTACTAAATATGATCTTGTACTTAAATCTTTCTCAGATGCTGACTGGGCCGGGGATCCCACATCTCGCAAGTCCACCTCCGGGTTCTATTCATTTCTGGGCAACACAATAATATCATGGATAGTCAAGAAGCAACACACTGTTGCTAGATCATCCACGGAGTCAGAATATCGCACTCTGGCTGCACTTACTTCGGACATCATCTGGCTCAGACGTCTCTTATCAGACTTCGGCATTTCTCAAACCAATCCCACTGACATGTTTTGCGACAACACCTCAGCGATAGCATTAGCGAATAATCCAGTGTTCCATGCCCGGACTAAGCATATAGAGATCGACCAGAAATTCATCCGGGATCATCTTCAACAAAATCACATTCGTCTTTTACCCATTAGCACTGTCGACCAAACAGCCGACATCCTCACCAAAGCACTCTCTACACCTCGTTTTGAGAAGCTCCGATCCAAACTGACGGTCTCCAAAGACCCATCAATTTGCGGGGGCATATTAGAATACCAAAACATATAAATATTGTATCAGATAAATAATGCTTAGGTGTCACAATATCACTGGATATCAAGAACCGTAACTTGTACTAATGGCTATATATACCACTACCTATTCTTTGTTTCGGTATATGCCTTTCTCCTGTCTTGTTCTTCTACAAGAATATCAAGCTGTTGCTAATGTTTTGCTAGAAAATGTTTCTCTTGATCTCAAAGATCATGGAGAGTTGTTTTGATCTCAAAGATATCTGATCTGTTATTTTTTTGTAGCGTGTTTCTCTTGCTCCACCCTTATCTATTTAGTAGACTTGCAGTTATGAAGTTGATGAACAATGATTTTATCATGTTTTTCGATTTCTAGATTCTAAATGTTGGACCATTTGAGTGTGGAAGAGCTGTTGCACCTGCTCTAGCTTCTTTCTCATTTCTACTGATAAACATAATAACTCCTTGAGACCATTAGATTTAGCTTTGTTCCATGATTTTATGCCTTGTGATAGACAGAATGGAGCTTTTTCGTGGATTGAAGTTTTTGGTGATAATTGCTTTAGGACTGTATGTGACTTATGAGGTTGAACTATTCTTTTTCCTGGCCAAGATTTATTTCATATTTCCTATCATTTACTGGTCAATGTTGAATACCAAGCCACTGTGGATGTGGAAACAATACTCGTGGGTTTCGTAGAAGAATGAGATGAATGGACGAAGTAGGTTGCGTGTGGCAAATGAAAACTGTAGACATACATGAGAAGCATTTGTTGAAATATTGCAGGAGTGTGCTCGTAGGATGCAGAAAGAATTTGGATAATAGAAACATGAGATGAGAGGAGGGAGGCTGGTGACCATGGAAGGGACGCCACAGATGATGTGTGAGATTGCTTCAGGGCACTAGTGGAAATCTTGATGCAGCACAAGGAAGATGTTTCATGTTAGGATATGGCCATGATGCGGCGGAGGATGCACAAAGACACCTAAGTAAGATGTGCAAATGAAGATATGTTAATCCTTCATGTTGTCTTGAGCAGCGAAGATAAATAATCATAATTGATGCTTTGATATCTTGGTGAGATTTGAAGAAAATTGAAATTTCTCTCTTTTTTCTACACTAATACATGAAACCTTAAGCTATATTTATAGGTAGAGGACCAAATCCTCTTATAGCTCTAGCACTTAATTACAAGTATAAGTTACCTAAAAAAATGCATAAAAAAATAGTAAATTGTTAGATATTATTCCAGATTTTTAGGTTTGTTTTTGTATAGGTTTTTTGTATGGCATATGTAGTCATTTGTGGAGCTATTTGTATAGCTTGTAGGAGCCTATAAATAGGCTTTAGTTTGTTTTAGGCATTGAGGCCAAGAGAAATAAAGTTTACAGAATTATTTTGGCTCTGCCCTCTCCTCTCTCTATCTCTTGCAAGAAGATCTCTCAAGATCTTCCTCCTTGCTTTCAACAATTTGGTATCAGAGCTCTGGTGGCGATCTTGAAGGAGGAAGGTGTTTTGTTCAAGAAAAGAGAGGAGGTGGTGGCTGCTGGTGCCGCCGACGTGCTTGCTCAAGCGAATTTGTTCGCGCATAAAGCATTGATCGGCCGAACAGGCCGGACCTCTAGCTGAGTTCGGCTACCGGAGGCGACTTCGGCAGGCTGCCCATGGGATTCTTGATCGGGACGCTAGGCGGACTCTTGCCTCAAGAAGGCGGAGTCTGGGCTGGTCAAATTCGACAAAAGAAGGTGCGGCTGAAGTGGACGTCCGCTCATTTGGCCTGCGTGAGGAGTTGAACGGAGGCGGCAGTAGTTGCTCGGCCTGATCCGTTCAGGCTCTATTTGTTCAAGAAAAGCTACAGCTAGGTCTTGTATGAGGCCAAATCAAAGACCACACGGGCGTTGGAAGAGGTAGGCGACTTTTGGTTTTTTGAGACGGACGAGAAGATTTACATAAGGAGACGGAACAGGCGGATCTCACGGAGGACGGATTTTTTGCTTGATTTTTGAATAAGTTTTGATCGGTCTTGACTAGCTTGGAAGAAAGGAACGGAAACAGGACTTCTTGCGATTCTTGCTGATCAAGAGAAGGATTGGGTTCGATGCAATTTCCTGTTCCTGTGTGTGAGAGATGAAGGATCTTCATGTGTTGAACGAATGAGGTGGAGTTTTGGACTTCAGGTAGGGGTGTAAGTGAGCCGAGCCGGCTCGCGAGCTGGCTCGAGCTCGACTCGTTTATGGGCTCGCGAGTCGAGCTTATCGAGCTCACGAGTCGAGCTTATC